CAGAGCAGGATTATATCTGTCTCCATCACATATCACCATTTTACTTTTCACTTAAGTCTTTTTTTTTTTTTTTTAAAGATTTTATTTATTTATTTGAGAGAGAGAATGAGAGAGAGAGAGTACATGAGAGGGGGGAGGGTCAGAGGGAGAAGCAAGCTTCCCGCAGAGCAGGGAGCCCGATGCGGGACTCGATCCCAGGACCCTGGGATCATGACCTGAGCCGAAGGCAGACGCTTAACCATCTGAGCCACCCAGGTGCCCACGCACTAATATTTCTGAGCTACTGATTTCTCATTTGTGAAATGGAGCTAATATATATGAATATCAAATCTAATACCTCAGCACTCAATAAATATTAGACATAAATTATCACCTTCCATCATAGCTTAAGATTTACTATATGGAAAGTATAATAGCAAACAAGTATATTATTTTTTTTTTAAAGGTTTTATTTATTTATCTGAGAGAGAGAATGGGAGACAGAGAGCATGAGAGGGGGAGGGTCAGTGGGAGAAGCAGACTCCCCGCCGAGCAGGGAGCCCGATGCAGGACTCGATCCAGGGACTCCAGGATCATGACCTGAGCCGAAGGTAGTCGCTTAACCAACTGAGCCACCCAGGCGCCCCTTCACTTAAGTCTTTATTTGATCATGAATTATTGCATGGCCACTCTAAAGAGTTCAAAGAATATATATATTTATACATTAAAAAAATGCTAACTCCTCTTTATCCTGCCTACTCCCATCTCCCAGGAATAGGCTTTATTGACAGTATGTTATATATCCTTCCACACTGTTTCTATGCACATAAAATTATAAATAATATTATTTCCAACTCAGAGAATGTTAGTTATTTAAGATTTTCTCATTCATTTCTGTCGAATGCACTTACTCTTAATAATGGCTAGAGAGGGAAAAGACTTTCACAGGCTAAATGATATTTCATTCTATACCTGTACATTGTAACAAAGTAGGCCCTGAAAACCCCTTAATTCTCCTAACATTGATAATTTGGCGGGACACCTGGGTGGCTCAGTTGGTTAAGCATCTGCCTTCGGCTCAGGTCATGATCCCAGGGTCCTCAGATAGAGTCCCGCATCGGGCTCCTTGCTCAATGAGGAGTCTGCTTCTTCCTCCGCCTGCCGCTTTCCCCGTTGGTGCTCTCTCTCTCTCCCTCTCTCCCTCTGACAAATAAATAAATACACTCTTTAAAAAAAAAAAAAAAAAAAAAAGCTCATTAAAAAAAAAAAAAAAAGAATATTTGGTTATCCAGGGATGCCTGGGTGGCTCAGTCGGTTAAAGTGTCTGCCTTCAGCTCAGGTCATGATCCCAGGATCCTCAGATAGAGTCCTGCATCATGCTTCTTGCTCATGGGGAGCCTGCTTCTCCCATTGCCTGTCGCTCCCCCTGTGTGCTCTCTCTCTCTGACAAATAAATAAGTAAAATCTTAAAAAAAAAAGAAAAGAAAATTTGGCTGTCCAATTATTAATATTGATCTTGTCAGTCTAATTTTTAGCATCTGGCATCCCTGATTACAGGCAGCTACCTAGCAAGAAGTTCTCTATATTTAGTAGTCAGGGATTTATATTTAGTTTCTTGGTTCACTTGTTGCTAATCAATTATTCTGGGCCATTTATGAGAAGCTTATATTTATTTTAGAATTTCTCTGAAAACTTAAAGCACAGATGAATTCAGAATTTTGATTATTTTCCATGCCAAAGCGGTATTAGTGTGTCATCTTAAGTATTATTAGCTTTTTAGAACTAATTTACTTAAAAATATGCATAGTAGTAATTAAATGTATCTATATAAACATGGCATTTCATAAATACATTGATAGTTGTTACTTATATCAGGTTAAAAACGTATATACAATATAACCAGAACAAAAACAAAGGGTTTTATGGAGAGCCCTTTAATAGTCATAATCTATTAACTTAAGTGGGGATTGATTTGAAAATTTTGAATGATGAGATAATAATAAATTAAATATACATGACTTTAAGAATGGGTATTTAGTGAGTGTGCTTATAAGATTAGCTTTCAGTGTCCTTCCTGAAAGAGCAGTAGGTCTTAGTGTAGTTGTTTCTTTTTTCATTATTTGAAATTATTATAATAGCCCCATGTTCCAGTGCTAATGATTGTAACATCATATATATTTTGCCCTGAGGCAATACTCATCTGTGCTAATCAAAATATAACAAAATAACTTCAAAATCCGTTCCTTAGTTACTATAGCTAAGATGATTATTTGTTTAAAGCAAAGAACTAATCTTGCATTAATTACTATCATTTTACTGTACAAAAGTGTAAATAAGGATGTGCAATGTATCTGCAGTTACTAAAAACAGCATTTGCCTTTTTCCGGTGCCCCATAAATGTTTTCCCACATATTGTTAATGTATGTTTAACTTAGAATCATAACTATATAAATTATTTATAAAATAGGTAGTACTAAGTCTTAACTCATGGTATAAAATAAATATAAATCCTTATTTGCATTAATTTAGCAGAGAGCCTTAGGCTAAAATTTTTCTTGTCACACTTAAGGAAAATATAGATGGTTGACAATACTTACTTGCTTTAATATCTGCTAACTATATAAAATATTTAAATGTTCAGAGTAATATGTATAAAAGTAATAATTACTCTGATGTTTTAGAATAATCTAAACCAACAAGCAATTTTATTTCTTAGTCATCTGGATTATTTTAAAATAACTTATATAATTACATTATTTAGAAAATAATATTAATGATCTAGATAAAAAGAGTAACAAAGAAAACAATGTAGAATATAATTAACATGAGAGAATTGCTCAGTATATTGGTTAAAAATGCTTCAAGTGAGAAATATTAAATGAGAAATATTAAATTACTACCAATATAAGGCTATAAAATAAGACTGTAAATTACATGAAACACCGCTTTTTTAAAATATTAACGAACATTTGATGTGCTAATATACTTTTGAGTTGATTGAGTCCCTCTATCTTCTTAAACACACACATATATAATATATATAATTATTTAATGAATTTATAAGTTAAATAAAGTAAATTTAGTTACACTCTCAAATTAAGAATACTTCTTACAATAGAATTTTTATCTAGATGTTATTTAGATGATAGTTCAGGATAATTTGCATATTTGCCACACATATTACAACATTAAATATCTAAATAATAATGACTATTTTTAATGGCTTTCTTGCCAATAATAATGCATTGTCGTAGAAATATTTGAAAATGCGTGTGAATAGTATATTATTAGAATTGTTGCCAGAGTTAGTTGATATTTTGAACCCTACCAGACCTACATTAGTTATTCAATGCTAAATGTTCCCTCCTATGCATTTCTAGTGTATCAAATTCACTTTCACATTTTAATATTGCTATCATAGTAGAAATACAGCTTAATTCTTCAGGAATGTTTTTAATAGTCAGCACTTAGATGTATATATATTATCTACATAATGAAATTTAAATTAAAAGTATAGGAAAGAGGAGTACACTGAAAATATTTTTTATATGTTGGTAACTTATGCCTCTTCTAAATTCATCAGCATTAATAGTATTAAACATCATATATCAAGGTAGTCTAAGGCTATTTGCCTATTTATTCAACTATTTAAAATAATAAAATAAGAAGTATCAAAATTAAATTAAAATTATTTTCCCAATTACAATTTCAAAATAAAAAATAGAGAAACAAGTAAAAAAACCCAACATCAAATTTAATTAATTTTCATAAGTAAGCTGATAAGAAATTAATGCACAAAATAATTGGATGTTCAGGTCATGTAACTTAGAATTATAAATCACAAATATATAGGGAATGTTTAAAAGTACATTAGCTTTCAAATATATTGGACCTTAAGGATAATATTAGTATGTTATAATTTTTAAAAAAATTAATAAATGCAAAATAAAAATGTCAACATGAAATACTTTGAATTTCCTAGTTGAAACAAATAATATATACCCAAGATAACCTAATTTCCTTTTAATTTTGGCAGAAACATATATCTCATTTCAGATCCTAGGTACATTCTCTTAAGTTAAAATGGATTTCCACTTAGTGCAATTATGAGTCACATAAAATGGACTATGTATAAACCCTAGGTAGAGGAAGTTTTATTTTTGAAGTATTTATATTTGCTTTATTTATTAAAAGAGATTACTTAAAATGACATTATAATTCTCCTCCCAAAAGAAATAAAGAGTAAAAGAAAAATAACTCAAGCTCCCTCAAAAATGTGGATTCTCAACTACTATAAATAGACTTAGCTATGATTATTTGACAAAGCTTAGTAGAATACATTTACATTATGATTTAAAATTCTGCAAATTTACCTGTATGTTTCATCTTTTTTTTTTTTTGCAGTTAAAGCATAATACTATGAAGATGACATGTGTTAATAGATGGAATATCAAGTTATTCTTGATGTTCTTATTGGAAAATCTTAACTTTCATTCACAGTAGATTTTTGATCATCTAATCTCTGAGCCTGACAACATTTGAGAGCATAACAATTACTGAATGAATAAACACATGGAAACAAACAATATTTTTATAATAAAGTATCCACATATCATATATATTATAAAATACCTGGAAATTCATAACAAAATATCAAAGTCAAAATATTTCAAATTGCGTTTGAACTCCTTTTTTTCTTCCATGAATCAAAGGCTTGAAATCTTGAGTTCTTTAACACAGGGATCAGCAAACTATGGCCCGTGGACCAAGTCTGGCCTGCTGCCTATTGCACAGCTCACAAGCTAAGAACAGATATTACATTTCTATTGGTGGGAAAAATCAAAGGATAAATATATTCCATTACATGTGAAGAGTATATGAAATTCAAATCCCAGTGCCCATTAATAAAGTTTTATTGTACCACAAAAAAAAATGGATTCTTAATTCTCTGATCATTGAATGTTTTGTATTCTACATACCAGACTGTCACTTCTATATCCAACAAAAACAAGTTACTATACCTGTGTGCAGGTATCTTTCGGTTCCCGACAATCAGAATAACATCACAGAGTTGCTGTTGTTTCAAGTAACTTTCCATTTTTCTGAAGGTTTGCTCAGCATGGTGGACAGCCTGATAGAATTCTTCAGAGCTACTGGAGTCCATATCACTTTGAGGTGTCAATGAATGGCTAGTTGCTGTCAGCCTACAAATCACACACAAAAAGATGGTGTTTATAAAGTGCTATGAATTGTCCAAAACAACACACAGAGTTTTAGAATTTTATAGGGAAAATCAATGCATGTCTCCTTATGTTAATCATTATTAATGTAAGTCAGAAAGATCTATTTTGGGTGAAATAATTTGCTCTGGGAAGCAATAAATGAATTGTTAATTATATTTTTTTCTAGTTTTAAAATGATTTCAAAGATAGGTTATCTATATTTAGTAGGACATTAAGCTAAAAAACCTGAAAAAGTAACAGAAACAGTAAATTACTAACATGCCTCTTCTAAAATTGATTGCTAATAAAATGTTAACTTAATCCATTTGAAATTGAGGTAGATCATCTAATTATACTATTCTAAATTATGATTCCTGTGAGGTTATAGTAAATGTTCCTTTACAGAAGTAGGTGATTTTCATGATGAGAAATTATGAAACATGGTTTGTAAAACAAATTGGCAATAAATTTAAAAGTAAATTGTTGAGTTTCATATTCCATGCCCAACCAATTAAAAAAAAAATTACAAAATGTAGTAGCTCAGTACTAACAAATATTTTAACCATATATATGAATGTCTATGTGATAAACTTTAAAATTTTGAAAAATTCATGATACTTAAGTTTGGCTACTAAATCTATTAATATCATAACAATGAAGTCTTTAAAATACCATACTCTATATTAAGGAGAAGACTCTCAGTATATGCATGATAGGCCCAGAAGACCCAGTCAAGTATTCTGATGCTGTGCTAATTAAGTCCTTAAAACAATTTAAAAATGAAAATGAATTAGATATTTAACAATAATAATGAAATAGCTTATTTCAAAACAGAAAGTATGGAGAATTCTGCTTCCAATTACAGGGCAATAACTTGTAGCTGACTAAACCCCTCACCAGAAAAAAATGTTACATATAATATCAAAACAACTAAATGAATTTAACAATAGCTACTAAGACAACCAGGACTTGAAAGACCAAGATCTTAGAATAAAGAAAAACTCATGGAAGTCAGCTCAAAATTCTATACTGTTTTTTCTTTCCCTTTAAAGGTATTTACTAATTATAAGCAGCACAGGGTAAGAAACTGAGAAAAAGTATCGTGGGGCTTGGAGGAAAAGATGGATATTGGAATTTTATGGGCTCCAAAGGTAGCAGAACTTGAGAAACAAATGAGGGGCCATAAAGGAGGAAAGTTTGGGAAAGGCTGTCATTGGGCACCACTTTTCCCCAGAGGTATTTGTGATCTGAAGCACTGCTAGACAGGCAGAAAATGACTTATTGGAGATTGAGAAGCTAAGTAGACTGTGAAAGATAAAAATTTGAATTCAAGGACCAGCAAGATGAGAGACTCTAGTAAATACACAGGGTCTCAGTTGAACTCCCTGAAGGGCTCTATCCTAGGAGGCAAGGGAAATAGAAATTGACAAGATAATACAAAGACAGAAACCTAGGTCTGAATCAGTGAAGTCTCTGAGTGCATTAAGGTGATGTACCAATCTAAATGTCAGCAAACAGTCAAAATAAAAACCTTTAGAAAAAGGTAACCTCATAGAAACTCTGATTTCTTGTGCATGTGTGTAGTGCTTGACATTAAGGTAAAAAAAGCAGGTCTATAAATAAACTAGACCTAGGGAGAAAAACAGGTAATAGAAACAGGCTTGGAGGTGCTACAGATGTATCTCTGAAAGGAAGTATCACAATTATAGATGTGAAAATAATTGTAATTACTATATTTTACTATAGATAACAATCTGGAGTGTTTCAAGAATATTAGGTTATATGAAAAAATCATGTAGAAATGTAATAATTTAACTTAAAATTTTGATAGAGGAACTGAACTTGCAGAATGCATGCAGATGAGGCAAATATAAGCTGAAAAATAAGTAGGAAATATTGAAAGTAAAATATTGGGATAAAAAAGATAAAAACAATAGTTTCTGAAACAAATGAAACATGGGAAAGGATTATAATATATAATTGTAGTCTTTTTTTCTTTTTTTAATTTAATTTAATTTTATTATGTTATGTTAGTCACCATACATCATTAGTTTTTGATGTAGTGATCCATGATTCATTGTTTTCGTATAAATAATTGTAGTCTTAAAAACAGGAGAGAGATATGATAGGGCAAAAGCCATCTGAAGACATAATGGCCAAGAGTTTTCAAAAATGTGTTAAAAACATCAAAACAAAGATTCAAGATTCACTATCCATCCACGATAAAACAAAACTACACATGACAGTAAAATCAATACAAAACTGAGGGAGGCAGGCAGAAAGGAACAAAGAAAAAGACTTTCTTAAAAGTTGTCAGAAAACAGAAAAAGAGAACCTTTCCTCAACTCATTTAATGAGGCAAATATAAGATGGAAACAAAACTTGGAAAGGAGTTTACACGGAAAGAAAATGAATGGCCATTCTCTCTTCTAAACATATTTGCAAAAATCCTAAGCAAAATACTAGCAACTAAATATAAAACTGTATGAAAAAACTAAATGTAAATATGAGGCTCCTGAGTGGTTCAGTTGATTAAGTGTCGGATTCTTGATTTGGGCTCAGGTCGTGATCTTAGGGTCATGAGATCGAGCCCTGCATTGTGCTCCACACTGGGCATGGAGCCTGCTTAAGATTCTTTCTCCCTCTCCCTCTACCTTTCCCGTTCTCCCCTCCGTTCTCTCTCTCTAAAAAAAAAAAAAGGTAAAAAAATAAGTGTATCAAATATATAGTGGATAATGCATCACAAGTAAGTTGTACCTAATTAAGGAACACATTTCAATCATATAAAACCACCTAATTCACTCATATATCAAACATATTTAATGGAAATCTTTCTTGAGACTGAAAATGAAATTCTTTAGTACTACCTACATTCAACATTTTTCTGGAAGGTCTTTCCAATGTAATGTAAACAAGGGAAAAAAGAAATAAAGCCCATTCCACAGTTTGGCTATTGTGGACATTGCTGCTATAAACATCGGGGTGCACGTACCCCTTCGGATCCCTACTTTTGTATCTTTGGGGTAAATACCCAGTAGTGCAATTGCTGGATCATATGGTAGCTCTATTTTCAACTTTTTGAGGAACCTCCATACTGTTTTCCAGAGTGGCTGCACCAGCTTGCATTCCCACCAACAGTGTAGGAGGGTTCCCCTTTCTCCGCAACCCCACCAACATCTGTCATTTCCTGACTTGCTAATTTTAGCCATTCTGACTGGTGTGAGGTGGTATCTCATTGAGGTTTTGATTTGGATTTCCCTGATGCCGAGCGATATTGAGCACTTTTTCATGTGTCTGTTGGCCATTTGGATAGAGCCAAGATGTCCATCGACAGATGAATGGATAAAGAAGATGTGGTGTATATATACAATGGAATATTATGCAGCCATCAAAAGGAATGAGATCTTGCCATTTGCAATGACGTGGATGGAACTGGAGGGTATTATGTTGAGTGAAATAAGTCAAACAGAGAAAGACATGTATCATATGACCTCACTGATATGAGGAATTCTTAATCGCAGGAAACAAACTGAGTGTTGCTGGAGTGGGGGGTGGGGTGGGAGGGATGGGGTGACTGGGTGATAGACACTGGGGAGGGTATGTGCTCTGGGAAGCGCTGTGAATTGTGCAAGACTGTTGAATCTCAGATCTGTACCTCTGAAACAAATAATGCAATATATGTTAAGAAAAAAAAAAAAAGAAGAAGAAGGTAGCGGGAGGGGAAGAATGAAGCGGGGGAAATCAGAGGGGTAGACAAACCATGAGAGACGATGGACTCTGAAAAACAAACAGGGTTCTAGAGGGGAGGGGGGTGGGAGGATGGGTTAGCCTGGTGGTGGGTATTGAGGAGGGCACATTCTGCATGGAGCACTGGGTGTTATGCACAAACAATGAATCATGGAACACTTCATCTAAAACTAATGATGTAATGTATGGGGATTAACATAAGAATAAAAAAAAGATGAAAAAAAAAAAAAAAGAAAGAAAGCCCATTAAAGTTAGACCAAAAACACATATATAACTGCTATTATTTCCAGAAGACATGTTTGTGCACATAAAACTCCAAAAGAACTGCAGACAAGTTTACAAATCTAAATCCATTAAAATTATGTGTGTTCTCTGCTATCTACAGTATTTGTCTATGCAATATGATTATTTTCATTAGTTTTCCTTTAAATATTTAAATATTTAAAATTAATAGAAATTTTGCTGTACCATATGTTTGCCTTTCACAAGTTTGCTTATTACAACCCCAGAATATGGTCATTTCCCAGCATATATTTTAGGAATTCAGGCTCGGGCATATGTTGGCAAGAACATCCTTCTACACGTTAACAAACACATTGAACAGAAAAGTCACAAAATGCCCAGCAGGATGGACTTTTTTTTTTTTTTTTAAAGATTTTATTTATTTATTTGAGAGAGAGAGAATGAGAGACAGAGAGCCTAAGAGGGAGGAAGGTCAGAGGGAGAAGCAGACTCCCTGACGAGCAGGGAGCCCGATGCGGGACTCGATCCTGGGACTCCAGGATCATGACCTGAGCCGAAGGCAGTCGCTTAACCAACTGAGCCACCCAGGTGCCCAGCAGGATGGACTTTTAAATCTAGAATGAACATATCATTATTGGGTTACAGGTAATTATGGAGAATAAAGTCAGGAGTGCAGGTTGCCAAATAGATCAAGACTGCTCCACTGAGATCCTGATGTTTCTGGTCTGGTACCAGACTGCATGAAGAGGGTCCTAAAATCAAGATACGAGACAGCCCGGCAGAATGGCTCCAGATAGGCTTAAAGGGGGTTGGGGATAAAGACTACATTCAGATCCTTATCTTAATTTCCTACAAGTCAAATACCATACTTAGGGCAGAAAGTTTTATAGCTCACTAAGATTTCCATAGCCTGGGAAATGTTAGCAAGAAAAGAATTTAGCGTAGTAGTTTATCTACAAGTCACTCAAGTTGTGGTGGACACAATATTAGAG